ACTTTTGTCTGACTAGAAATATTGAGTCACGTTTGATGAAAACGAGTTGGCTTACTCGTCCTCTCCATTATATTTTACTTTGCTTTCCGATCGACGATTATGCGAACTATACGTACCGAAAAATTTATTCTCGTATTTGACTTTTTTAATTCGGTTATTCACCAATGCGATTTTAGTTGATGATTATGTACGAGTATAAGCGAAATGCATATTTCAACAATGATAATCATCTGATCAAATTGGAATCAGATATTCGAAGGTTATTAAAAATTATTGACTTTCAATGTCTCCTCATATTCACCGTACCAAAAAGCCAATGGACAATTGTAATAAAATAATTTCATTTACATGGAAAACACTTTAATATCATTCGATAACTGTCTCCTTATCTTTTTTGTTGTTGAAAGAATTCATTCAATTGATTAGCCTTTGGTATTTTATTTTATTTCTAAATGTTAATTTATAAAGCTTGTTGAAATACATAGGAAACATTGATGATTCTTATTGCTTTACTCTTATTTCTGAAGTTATATATGGGATAATAATGGACAGGTAGTTTAAATGGTTAATTAAAGACAATTTAAACGTGTGGTGTATTTTCCGGTTTAATATTTTCATATGTTTAAACAATTATTGATCAAAAATGCATAAGATTACTTTAAAAAAAGGAGAAGAAGTGTACAATATATCACAGTATTCATAAAAAGGATTCCAACTTATGTTAACAGAAAGACACATAATGTAGATAAATAGACTGGTTGATTGATAGTGAGATAGATAGATAAATGAGCATCCAAACAGTATCTAGAATTGTATACTGAAAATCTGCTGGCAATATTTTCAATGTTAGTTTAAATTCATTTGTACTGGTTGTTTGAATCTTTTCATTGATGTTTAGAACTGCAATTCATCAGCCTCTTTTGGAATAGGTACATCTTGTGCAAATTGTTTCAATATTAATTTACGTTGCAGACATTATGAGAACAGATGAGTGACCACTAGCAATGGAAGCAAAGGTTACTCGATTAGAGCCTCAAGGTGAACATCAAATCTAGAATGAGAGTACATCCAGCCGACGAGCCCAAAACAGGACAAAACGAGCGTCCTGGATTCCACTGTTAGCCACCATCCATTTTTGCTGATTGATTTGAACTGTTTTAAAAGCTGGGCTATTGGGTTATGTAGTCAACAAATGTGATCAATATATTTATTGTAGGCAATACTAAAAGAAACCATTTCAAGTATCCTATTATAACAAAATAATGGAATAAAAGTTGGGCAGTTGTGTTTACCATAATGTTATTCTCGTGAAAAAAAGAAACATTATTTAATCATTGGTAGAAGAAAATAGTTGACTCGGAAGACATCGTTCATCATGGAATGAGATTAGCTGAAAAACACCAGACAACTATTCTATATTCTGGTCAGTTATTAATGCACTGTAATATAGCTCAGTTTAGTAACCCGATGAGAGCATCCAAAAGAATTAAGTTATTTGTTTATTTCTAGGAGAACACAGCTTACTATGTATAACGTGGTAGAGAAATCCAGAACTTGATAGCCAGATGGTGTGTCCCAAGTAACAGATATTGCACTGAGCGAGAACATAAGTGGAGAAAATGGAATGTATGTGGACAGAAATTTACAGAAAACCTTAGTAAACAGTTAGTACTTCATTTGCTAAATGTAAATCAACTATCTCAAACTTGACTGTTCCTTCATTTCCCTAGAAATCATTCTCTGTTCTCATTCTCTTTTCTTTGATCATCCTAACCTTCTGCCACTAGGCATTTCACATTCGATTGATGATACATACTACTTATATCTGTCGATTTCAGTTGCAAACATCGCAATATTATGAAAGCTACTTTACATTAATTCAGTTTACATCTCAAACTTATCTATGTATATTTGAAATGAATTATGCTCAGAAACAATAAGAAACCAATCACCCTAAAGTGTTTAATTATTTATGGACATTGTAAATAACTAACTTGCTATTTCAGTCTATACCTAATCTACAGTTAAGACTGGGAATTTTAAAACATTTGAAACCATTAAATGACAATACAAACTATTATAGAAAAACAATCTTGCATAGTAACAAGTAGGAAAATATCCTAAATATAATTTATCATTTTCATTTAGCATATAAAGAATATGTGACCAGATTGTTAGAAATGTATAACGAAAATACATTATACTTTTCGGATTAATTCCGTTTTATTATTGTTCTACCGAAAAAATATAAGTTTCTATAGTGTGATAATACTGAAGATTATCAGAATTATGTGATATATTAGCACAATACATTTCGAATAATCTGATCACATATATAATTGTTAAGAACATTTATATATAAAGAATAAATGGTCAACTAGACTGGAAGTGGAGTGAGAGGAGACAAGAATAATATAGAAATAATGTGAAATTCAAACCCCCTTTGTGTAGTTAAGAACAGTTTTTTCTCATATTAAATCTACCCTGATAATATTAGTTTATTATCCAGAGTGATTAAGTTTCAATTTGTTTTCACATTATTTTCTTCATTATCCTTATTTCCTATTACCCTCTATTTTTAGTCTACTTGACTTTTTAATTTTCATATATAAATGTTCTTAACAAGTATATATGTGATCAGACTGTTCGAAATGTATTGCGCAAATATATCACATAATTCTGATGATCTTCGTCTAACGGGACTAATTGCTTCAAGCATATACATAATACCGTTGGATGCCAGCTCAATGGTTTAATGGGTAAGAGTTGACACACAAGACTGAAGGTACTGGGTTAGAATCCCTCGAGAGGAATGGTAGATGCACACTGATGAGGAGACCCACAATAGGACGAAACGACAATCCAGTGTGTCCAGGATTTCCATGGTAGTCTAGCTTCAACTGACTCATGATCTCATCTATTGAAATTACTACAATCTCCACAAAACCCCTTCTGATACTAAAAATATAAGTGTCTAACTCTTATGTTTTACGATTTAGTGCTATTGATGTACTAATAACTTCTGGCACAATGTTCACTTTGAAACTTTGTAAGCTTGAAAAACAATTTTAATTTCTTTCCCTTTTTTTATAGATCTCCAGTCTTTATGTTTAAAAGTGTTAATTCCATAGAATAAACTTGAAATTAAAGTAAAATAAATGGTTAGGAAATTTACTTCAATCACTATCGAAATAACCAAGGCTAAATAAATTGTCACAGAAATTCACGTTTCATTTAATCAAGATTTTACAAAGACATTTATACTATCTATCATGAGCTATGATGTACTCGAACGACTTCCCCAATGATTTTCAAGCTGAAACCAACTACTTAAAGAAATCATATTTAAATACATATCTATTTATTATCATAATTTGCAAAAACATACATTGAAAGATTTGGTCGAAATACAAATGTATAGTTTAATAATGAACTTTGTTTTCATTTTAAAAGCAAAAAATAATTTTCTCCATAGTTCATATGACCTTTTTTGAAATCACTATACTTAAATGATTTTAATTGAGATCATGAACTGATTGATATTAGATTACCATTGAAAACCTGGAAACATTAAGTGGCCGTTTCGTCCTATTGTGGGTCTCCTCATCAGTGCGCATCTACGATCCCACTCGAGGGATTCTAACCCAGTACCTTCAGTCTTGCACGCGAACACTTAACCTCTAAACCACTGAGTCAACATCCAATAGTATCAATGTTTGATCAAAACCACTCCACTTAAATGATTTTAATTTTATTAATTACTTTTCATTAGTCAATATTAACTTTTTTTCCCTATCTTATCATTAAGATAAACAAAAAGGAAAATCATCATTTTATTCATTTGCCAGATTCAATCTTATACTTTTTTAGTTATATGATTAGATATTATGTTAAAAAGAAACAAATGTTCTCCTTCGTTAAATCTTGCATATGTAATAATCATAAACAATTCAGTAACTAACATATTTTTTTTTTGGACTTATCTGAAGCATTTCAGTATATCATCCATTTAAAGATATATTGATATGATTATTGATGATTATAACATATGCAACTCATATATATAATAAAAGCTCAGAAGAAATCCAAATAATCACCGAAAACATATGGTGTATAGTTATAAAATTGTTTATATCCATGTTTCATCAAAACGGGATTATTTAAAAGAAAAAGAAAAAAGCTAACAGATTTTGTTAGAAAAGGAACAACTGGAAAGTTGGTTTCAACCTATATTAATAATAGGTAAACAAAATGTTTTTTTGTATGTGTGTGTTTACTGGAGATGTGACTTAATTGACATGATATGAGATAACCTGTCCAAATACTTAGTCCTGTCATATTCATGCCAATAATCAATGATTTCACCTATAGTGGTTTCTTTTCTAAACAATTAGTCATGAATAGATTATTTATGTTTTAATGGATTATTCTTTTTTATATGCCAGTAGGTTGTTCTTATCTTCATTAAAACATACAGTCTTTCTAGTAGTAGATATCAACAGAATCAAACATCTACTCCTAGATAAATCATAAATAATTTTTAATAAGGTAACAAGATTGCCTTAACATAAGCAAGTAGAGTTAAATAGGAACTTATGACACTCCTTAATTAAAATTATGGTCAGATCATAATTTGACATGTTAAGGTTCTGTAAAACTAATTTAATCACTAATAATATATTCTTTCGGAAGCAACAGTAAATTTCTGATGTAAATACCAAGATATGGTTATCTCAAATTAAAATGAAAGACGTGAGTTCGAATCCCACGTGTGCGTTCATGAATGCTGAGGAGTCTCATACTGAGACGAAATAGCCGTTTAGTACATTTAGGTTTTCCATGATAGTTTAACTTTAATCAACTCATGAATTCAACTATTCATTTATAACAATCTCCACAAAACCTCCTCTCTTAAATCTTGTTTTCAAAAATGGGCAAACAGTATTCATTGCTTCAAAATCAATATAAACGAACATTGCATTATTTATTGATTTATTTACCTTGACTGATCATAACTTTTGAATTTGTATTATCAGTTTGTTGATCAATCGAATTTGTAGACTTCATATTTCATTCATCTACTATAGAATTTATAAATGAATAAATTCCAGCAATTATATCCAATAGTTATTTTTATTCCAAAGTTAAGTATATCCAGAAAAACAAAACTTTATGATTTTTAAACACGTTTGTAATGATTAATTATAATGTTTGATATAGTTGAGTACAATACAGATCACGAATAAGGATCTTTGATAAACAATAATTTGTGTACATATAACTGGTAATAATAATCTTAAAGTACCAAGTTAGTTTAAAGAATTCTTCATATACAATCAGTTCATTGGTCTAAGTTCTACCAATCAGGTAGTCAACCATATAAAATAATGATTGGTTAGAAAGATAAGGTAAAATATGTGAAATAAATTTCTTGGTTTATTCATAACCTTGAAAACAATTATTTCAATCATTAAAATGTGTTATATACTAAATTTTCACAAACCTTTAATTAATAGAGAGAAGATATTTTTTTTTGATAAGTGATCGTTATACTACTACTTTTCAGGAACAATATATCTACGAAAATGGATGGTGGCCAGCAATGGAATACAGGATGAGAGTTTCATTCTATTTGGGACTCGTTAGCTGGATGTACCTATACCCTTGAGTTGATGTTCACTCCGGGACTCAAAAATAGTACCGTTCGCTTCAAATGCCATCTCATTATCCACTTAGCTACTGAGTCCAATTAGGTAGTTACTTATGGAATCGGGTGAATTTTGAATTCACTTCGTTTACTTAAATCTTCTCAATAATGTTTAGGACTGCAATTGATCAGTCTCTTATTGTCATATGTGCATCCTGTGTGTATTGCCTAATTCGCAAGCATTCAAGTGAACGTCAACTCTGAGATGCAGGAACACCCAACTGACGAGTCCCAAATAGGACGAAACGCACATCTTCGATTTAACTGCTAGCCACTATCCATCTCCGCTTATAATGCTTAAGAATTAAGACAGTATAGAGGCAATACGCACAGTATGCATATAAGCCAATAAGAGACTGATTAATTGTAGTCCTAATCATCAATGAGATGATTCAAGTAAGCAACACTATTGCTAAGTAATCTAACATTTCTATGAATTATTAAGACAATAATCATATGAGCTGTTTTGATTATATTTATGTCTTGTATACTAAAGCAGTTATTCATCAACATACATCAAATACTATGTTCTATCATTTACTAAAATACATAATAATTAAATATCATTTGTAAAAGAGACTAGAATAAAATCATTAGTCACACTTTTCACTTACTGTAGGATGTACATGATTTAGGGACAAAACTATACATCAGTCAATTTACTCTACGATCTTAATGATTTTTTTCTGTATGTTTTTGTTTTCATATTTTTCTAAGTATTCCTATAATACTATTAATTAATCATTCTGCTGATAGAATACTTCCTGTGATAAACAAATGTATTCATCATTTGTATGTGTACAAAACAATTATTTCATCTTAATGTAATGCCAGGTTGGAATAAAAACAACTAATTTCGTTTTTTTTTGGCATACACTTACTTCTTACTTATGTCTGTTACCTCTCATAGAGGAGTATAGGCCGCCCACTAACATTCTTCATCCAGCTCTGTCCTACACGATCTTTCTAGGTGCTTCCAGTTGCTATTCATCCTTTTCATGCCTGCTTCCACTTCCTGACGTAGTGTGTTCTTTGATTTTTCTCTTCTCCGTTTCACTTTAGGATTTCAAGTTAGTACTTGAACCGTGATACAGTTTGATTATTTTCGCAATGTATGTCCTATCTACTTCCAACGTCTTTTCTTAATTTCCTCTTCAGCTGGAACCCAGTTTGTTCTCTCCAAATGTAGGCTGTTGCTGATGGTATTCGGTTAATGAACATTCAGTAACTTACGCAGTCAACTGTTCATAAATACTTGTACCTTTATGATGATGGTTGTAGTAGTTCTCCAAGGTTCAGCTCCCTACAGAGAGACTGTCTTGACGTTCGTATTAAAGATTGTGACTTTGATATTGATTGACAGTTGTTTTGAGTTCCATATGATGTTCAATTGTAGGAATGCTGTCCTTGATTTGCCAATTCTCGCCTTTACGTTCGCATCGGATCATCCTTGTTCATCGATGATGCTGCTGTCCAGGTATGTGAAAGATTCCACATCTTCCAGAACATCTCCAGCAAGTTTGGCATGCGATGTTAACTAGAATGGAGTAGAAATTTTTACTAAAAGTATAATTTGAATCGATGTCCTCTAAATGATAATTTAAGTTTACTTACTTAATATTATTCTTGTTTGTCAGATGGATAAGAAACAGTTGACTAATCTCACTTTATCATACTAGCTACACTCATTAAAATCGAAACCTATTTCATTTATGTATAAGTTCTTAGCAATAAAGATATTAAACTATATGAAATCAGTTTATAGTAGTAGTTTTTATGTGAAATATTATTGACACTTAGGTAAGAAAAGTCTCAATCTACATATGATTAATTACTGAGATTGTGCTCTACTTAACACATGTTAACTGATCAACTGTTAAATATCATTAAAGAATCACAACTTTGTTCCCCGTAATATTTAAACTGGTAAAATACCGACCACAATGAAAAAGAACCTGTCCAAATTATTTAAAAATAAATAGCCAATTAAATAAATAAGTAACCAGTAATTCGTCGGAGGTAACCGAAGCCATTATAAATGATTTTTACAATATACGAAGTCATCTGACTATGATGTAATTATAGTACTAAACCGCGAGATGATACGAAATACAATATTGACTTCATGATTGATTGATCACTGGGTGGTGATCAATGTCATATGTGTCAGGCCCTTCTTAGTGCAGATCGGACGCTATCAACCAAGTTGCAATGTGGCCACCAGTCTAGATGACTCGACATTACGTGTACTTTGTCGAAATAAGATGGTGGTTGTAAACCCTGGACATGGGTTTCGTGCTATTTGGCACTCGTCAGTAAGCTTAACCTGTAATCTTGAGGGAACTGATGCTCCTCAACAGATACGATTCCGTGTCACCCAGTTTCACAGTCAGAGATGTTACCACTGAACTATCCACGACAAGTACCAAATAGCACGAAACATATTTATCACACTCAACTAATTTATCTATCAGGATAATACTGAGAGTTATCCAAATGTGCTTGGAAAGAAATTGACTGATCAAATTGCCTTCCATAAAACCAAATTTTTTCCTTACAATAAGCGAATATTCTTTTGACAAAAAATCAACGAGAAATGTAACTTGGATGAATAGTTTTATTGGTATAACATCCTCTTATCTAGATGGTTTTATTTTAGCGCCAACAACATTATTAGGCCCTACTCTAAATAAAAAGGTCTTTCATATCGACCAAACAGATTCTCCGTTAATACTAATTAGCAAGTAACTATTCTACACAGAAAGTATTGATTGTTACCTGACCAAAAAAACTTCGGATTAATTACATTGTTATGCAAATAAATTAAATCTAAGGTTATAGTTTTAACTTTAAAGTTTTTCAAAATACTGTCAAGATTAAAAAATCTAAACCATATGAGAATAACCCATATGTAGAAGTGTTTGGTTCCAAAAATAATACTGAAAATATTAGAATGGATCAACTAGACAATAATATACACCCCAACACCATGTTGGACCCTATTAATCGTAGGGGTGGTTATATAGCTAAACAAACAAGAACTGGTCAATCCACCATTTCATCATCCCAGATAAACCTAAATCAACAAATATACCTAGGGTAATTAATGCACAAACTGCTTACAACAACCTTGACGTACGTATACCTAGGATTAGACAGCCTTCAAGAAACAAACGTGGTCCATGTTTGCACCAAAAAAAACTCTTTATGTACTGAATCTGAAAGATATAACTTTTCTCATCACATTACAGACAGGCAAGATGAACTGCTAGGTTGTGCACCATGTCAAAATAATGACTCTTTGTCCTTCAGAAATCCCTGGTCTCTCTAGCACTACAGCTTGTTCATGCCATACTAAACCATAGTCTAGTCATCTGAAAAATACATAACATCAATAAGTATGTTCTCGGTTTTTTTACATCCCACACTTTCTTTTTAATTCTATTACTTATCAATGCACGTTTACTTCTAAATAATATTTCGGCCTTAAGAACTATAGTTTGACAAGCCAAACATTTTTTTCATACTTATCACTGAAACATGATGCTCTCCCATAGTGTTTGATTCAGAATTAAATATCCAGAACTATCGGCTCTATCAATGTACCAAAGAAACTAAACGTGCGGGTGGATGTCTTATACATGTCTTGGATTCTCTAACAACCAATAAAGTGAAAGACAGTATATTGAGTAGTTTACCTTAATCCTTCTGGATATCAGTTAACACTTCACATCAAAGTCTACTACTAGTATGCATACAAAAAGCCCCTGATACTTCTGATAATATGAATGATCTTATTAATAACGCAATTATGCATGCATCTGCTCTAAAATTCAATGCTAAGGCTATTGCAACAGATTTCAATTACCCTTAAGTAAACCGGAAACCAGTAGTCGTCAGTCATGTAACAATGGATGTCCACTTAAAATGAATTAAAATTTCTTGACTGACACCTTTCATTGATTTAATACATGTGAAAATGGTACTACGTAAACAGTTTTCCAACTAGAACACGAAACAGTCTGATATCTCATATGTCCTCTACATTTAATATTACTATTCACATTAGACTGATTTGAAATAGAATTTCTGAGTTGCATATCGAATTTTTTTTTAACAACATAGTGATTAAATTATCAATAACAAAACAAAACAAAAAAAATTAATTTCGGTCGAATGTTTGTCAATTGTGATAGACTTGGTATACATAGACACTTACAAAAAATCATCTAATGTCCTGGATTACTTGTAGGTCATATACATTCCTAAAGTTTTTTTTAAATGTCAACTTATGTGATGAATACCATAGTCCAGTGAATTAAAAGTTCAATAAGCTTAATATAATACAAATATGATAAATAAAACTTTATAAATATAATAATAATATAATCATAATATGAATTTCAGAATCCGTTATAAACATTCATGTTAGGTAAGCAATGATGGATAGTGGCTAGCAGTGGGATTCAGGATGCGCGTTTCGTCCTATTTCATCAATGCTTATAAAAAGCTTGTGAATTAAGGCAATATCGAGGCATATGCACAATATGCACATATGCCAATAT